AGGTGATACATGTCACATAACTACCCACCTTATGGTGTGTGTGACCAGGTGGTACATGTCACATAACTACCCACCTTATGGTGTGTATGTCCAGGTGGTACATGTCACATAACTACCCACCTTATGGTGTGTGTCCAGGTGGTACATGTCACATAACTACCCACCTTATGGTGTGTGTGTCCAGGTGGTACAAGTCTGTTTTGTAGCTGCATTGTTTCTTTTTCCTTTTTTTCTTTCATGTTCTACATAATATTACAATTAAGTATTTTTCATCTAAGGTTTGGATGTGCTGTGTTAAATTCACACTGTTCTTCCTTATGATGTATTCTTTTTTTTTTTATTATGTATGTATGTATGTATGTGTGTGTGTGTATATATGTATGTATATGTATTGATGTTATGTTTTAGCTAGATTAATGTAAATAGTAAACCTTGTAGTAATGGTCAAAAGTTTGAATTACTTACTATTAAAAATTGCTTGTGTGTAGCTGTTAGCTAAATTAATGTCTTAATGAGGTTTCGTGTTTAAATTTATCCACCAGGATTATTATCTGCATGTTGATATTAATTTAGCTAATGTCTACATGAAAACAAGTTATTACTCTGGAGTATTTTCCAAATTGAAAGATATTTTGCAGGGGACAAAATAGTTTGGTGTATTTGATTATCAGAAACTGCTAATCAATATTGAAATTAATTAGCAGTTAGGAAATATTGCTTAGCATCTTTTTAATATTCATCATTTTAACATATTATGCCAACTAAGTCCGGCACTACAAGTCTTAACTCTATGTAACAACATCCACTAATGAAAAATAGGTAAATGGTATGTTTTTATTCTAATACTTTTATTCAGCTTCAAACCCTAATATTTAATTGTACCATACATGGCCAGTATAGTTCCTGGTATATAAAGTAAGACTCCAAACTGCAAGAAATACCAAACACCTCAACTGTCACAAAATAATACAACATTTGATTAACCAGAGAAAGAAGTGACTTGAAGATATTGCAACTGCAAAATGTTGCGACAAATCATTTTTTCATATTAATAATTTTCTATTTTTGTGGAGATACCTCATCACTTTTTTCACAGTGTGGTCTCCTTGGCTTTTTGAAGAAGAAAATGTCTAGTGACTTTTCAGCAGTAATTACCCCTCTCACCACAGGCATCCTTTACTGTGCATGTCATAAGGTTTTTAGTGAGTTACGTTCAAAATTTAATTACACTACTTTTTTGTTTGTTCATGTTATACATATTAGTATAGCATAAAATCATAGCTAATAATCCATATTTTAATAGTATATCAGTTTTAAATTCTTAATTTTATAAGGCAATATTGAAAAAAGATCCTGAATTCCCCCTAATTGGAAAATGTGACATTTTTCCTCTAGGCATCTCCTCTTCTCTAATCTATTTACTATCCCTCCAAGAAGTACAAAATTTAAGGTAAATTTATAATATTGTCATCAATTATATAAACATAATTTTCATAGACTTCAATTTTGTTTGATTACAGGGACATGTTTTCAGTCACATGACTGCATAACCTTTATATCAAACTGAAACATTGCGGAACTTTCACTGTGTTGTAGGGCATCTCAAAGACAACATACAAGAGAAAGGAATGATTCGCATGTTATGCTAAGCAAAGAGGAAAGAGATTTGTAACTGTAGTTGTTTTGATTTGCAAATTGTGATGTAAACTTGGATATTTTGTCCCCTGCTTTGTATGTAACATAATATTAATGTGGTATTGATCTGTAAAGGTAACAAAGAAAACTAGCAATGTTTCTCCCATTTTATGTGATTTACAAAAATATGCACATTTTAATTTTTAGCTCCATAGATCATATAAAAACAATTGAGAATTTTTCACTAGAACAGTTGCTGGAACTCCATCGTGGTCAAGGAATGGAGATATACTGGAGAGACAATTTTGTGTGTCCAACAGAAGAGGAATACAAACACATGGTTAAAAGAAGTATGTTATATTAGTTCTTAAAAACCAACAGCATTGAAATTATAGTTGCTATAGTTAGTTCATGATATACCAGTAGTAATGAATTTGTAGTGTA